GTCTTTATCTCAACACATGAGTTTTCTCACTTTTACCCTTCCGATTCTCTCCCCCATCCCACCGGAGGGGAGTGAGCAAGTGGCTGCGTGGTGCTTAGTTGCCGGCTGGGGTTAAACCACGACACTGAAGCAAGGGAAAAATAGTACCTGCTGCAGGAGGTGCTAAAATCTATAGCAACAACGAAGACTGACTTGCTGGCCATGGCCGACAGCAGTGCAGAGGTGCGCAGCTCAGGGACCTACAGAGGAGTAAACAGACAGGACTGGGATGAAACTGAAACTGCTCTGGCTGGTATTGCAGGGTGAAGCCCGCCCCCCGCCCCGCCGACTTTATTGGCTGGAGAGAAGTATGATACTAGATACAGTGCAAAGAAAGCGTGCCTTTTCCTGTAAAAAAGAAAGACTTGTTTCTGTTATCTATAGCAGAAAAGTCCCTTTGTGAAGCAGCACGGTCCCCTGTGCTGCCACTCATTTGGGCAAACATTTTCTGCTGCTGTAAAGGCACGGATACACCCGAGTTTTCTTCCTACAGCAGAACCGGGGTGTCTGAAGGACTGTGTAAGGGCGCTGATCCTAGAGAGATAGCTGCAGAATGCGGCAGGTATGTTGCACAGGGGGTGTCTCTGGCCAAACTTAGCAAGTTTAACCTTAGTAGGTCTGAATATTTCTACAAAGTCCCTCGGGGGGTTGCAACGAGGTTACTGCAAACATTTCCTGACTGTGAAATATTTCAGTAAAAGTTCTGTTTTCTACTTCCTATCCTTCCTATCCCATCACAGGGATGGTTAATGTCCTCAAATTCAGCCCAAGTTCAGCTCCAAAGGGTGAGGCAGATCTTAAATGGGTGTGAGAGGAAGAGAAATTGGAAAGAATGGTATAAATAGTGTAACAGATCCTGGACTTCGGGGACTCGGTCTCTGAGCTCATCAGTTTTGCAGGGAAAGGCTGACTTAAATGCAGATTTTATACTGGATTGTTGAGTTTAAAGAGAAAAAACATGTCCTCAGTGAAAGACTGGAAACAAAGTGACTTAACTGAAAAGGAATCCATCCAAGTAAACAAAGCCAAAATCTGTTTCAGCGAGAGAGAAGTGAGGAGGTGCTGGGAGAGAGGGGCAGGACAGTCCCTTGCAGCAGCCATGCAGATTTGGTTCAGCATAAACTGATGGTGAAGCCTCATGCTTAGGCTTTCTCTGACATCGCCTTGCTCCAGGAAGAAGCTGCCTGCTGTCTGTCTGCTCCACCTGTATCCGAGCTGCAGGAGCACCTCAGCCTGGGATTGTCTCTGCAGTAATAGTTGATGTTTGGGATCCTCATTAGGAAATAGGGCACAGAGCAGTTGTAGAAATGAAAATTACCTTAAGAACATATAGCTTTGTTCTGCTCTATTAAAAAACCCCACACCCATACGTTGCAAAGTTGATTTCAGCAGAATAGCCACCTGCATTTACTGTTCCCCACACTCTGCAGGTCTGGGTTGAGTTTGTTTTTCAGTTGTCCCTGTATCCTGCCCACTTCATCCAGCCCTAATGATTGCTCAAATCCTCCATCTGTTTTTTGCAAACCCTGGCCTGCGCAGTGCTCTGAACTGTGCCAGGTGTCATCTGGGAAAGTGCTGGCTCACTTGTGCCAAAACTGCGTCCAGGAGCATGCTGGGCTATCTTGTGCCCTGGAGCCTGTGTCCTGGCTCTGATCTATTCGCTAGTGTGGATGTAGCCATGGAGCTTCTGCTCATGGGGCTGTCTTTTATAAGGTACCTGTTTAGAGCATGTGATTTTTTCTCTTCATTTTAAGAATTCCATTTTCTTATTTCCTCAGACAAATATTTGACACCCCGTGGCAACCATCCATCAGCCTGTGGAGACAAGACTTCAAGGCTGGAGGCATTATATCATGATCTGACAGAAAGGCTGGCACAGGTGGGAAAAGAAGTAAGGTGAGTCTGGTGACCAGAAATTACAGTGTTTAGTGTGGCCCCTGATGATCAACTGTAGCTGGTGTACGCTAGGACAGGTTGGACAGAAGATTACAAATAAGCTAGACACAAGGAGGGCTCTGACATAGTACCAAATTTTGTCCGGGCTATATTGGGAACCCAAAGCCAATTTACAGAAGCTGTTTGATCTGCATCATGTAACATGCAGATCTTACACTTTCAGAGTATTTTAGTTGCACTATTGGTACTGCCTGGTATTGCAGTATTTTATTTGCACTATTGGTACTGACTCATAAAATCACAAACCACCTACCTGGCAAAGCACAGCCTTGAGAAGTTTTGGAATCGAGATTTTTTTTTTTTTCCCTATGGGCTGATCAGGAATTGGAGGGAGGAAGTTTAGTTTGTGAAGTTCTTAGGACTTTAATGGATACTTGCCTACTGACAGTAATGTGTTTTATTATTTCTTTCTTCCCCTGATGGACTGACAGACAGCAAGAAAAGAGTTTGGTCTGACTCTGTTGATACCCGACTACAATTTCTGGAGAGTTGCCACAGGTAAAGTGATTCTTAATATAAAGAATATATCACGAGGGGAAAAATCATAAATGTTTCTGCGACTGTAACTGAAACACACTCAAGCTCTGTCCTGCAGGGCAGACCAAATTTTCATTCTCCTGTTTGACTGCATTGTCATGGCCAGGCATGAACTGCCTCTGAAACAGGTTTGTCTTGGAGTGCAGATCAGGGCACATGACCAGGGCACGTGACATGAAAACATGTCATGTTGTGAGATGAACTTTCATTTCCGTGCAAGTACTTCTCTGAATAGGAAATGGCTGCCTTAACAACAGCAGCTCTCAAGATAAAGGCATCCAGCCTAATATAGAAGGGGGAGGTGGTAAAAGCAGCACTGAGGACACTTTGAGTAGGTCTGCAGAGGCAGTCCTGGGTTTTCCTCATGAAAATTGCCCCCTTTTGAGCTAGGCAAGCACTGAGGGAAGGCATAGTGGCTGTGATACTGGCAAGAAGAAGGGAAGTTGTTAATCAGGAGGAAAGAAAAAGAAATAGCCTAAATAATAGCATCTTGGGGACAAAATGCCAACATAAATCATTCTCAGTTTCTAAGGCCAAGAGTGAATAACCTTCAAATAGTATAGCTGGATTTCCCTGCCCTTCCTGAACAGCTTTGTGGAGAAGAGGTTTTCCTGTTGGGATTTCCGTGAAGACACGCTGTGGTATTTTAAAGTTTCTGATCATGGCTGGAGTATCTGTGGGGTCATGAAGGGTTTGCAGGTGTGCAGTCATGGATAGCCTGGTAGTGGAAGAATACTCACACTTTCTGAAACCTTGGAGCTTTCTTCCGGAGTGGCTCAAGTTTGAGACTTGGACTGATGTAAGGCAAAGGTTCCCAGACACTGGACTTAGATTCAAATGATGACCAAGCTCAGTCACTTGTGTCCCTGAGTTTGTTTGCCTAATTAGAGAAGACTGTCAGGAAACCAGTTTAGATCCAGATTACACCTCCCAAATTCAGGTCCTCATTCTTGGTTTGTTCCCAGGTCTGTCTGCTTAACATAGATTGTTTTCTTCCATCTCTAGGCAGCATGCTGCATCTGATCATTACAAGATGCAGGAGACCAGCAACCCTGATCCTCCTTACCAGTAGGGACACAGGAGCTATCAGGAGTGAGTATTGTTTTTTTTCTGAATTTCCTCTTCCCAGTATTGTCCTTTCACCCACAGCCAGTCATCTTCCTCCGCTATGCATAATACATCTACCACCTCCAAGGTTAGACAATCTCTGAACACGTTTCTGTGTGCAGTAATGAAGGTAATTTAATTGACAGAGCAGAAACTTGATGGGATAATTCACAAGATCAGAATATTAATATAAGATGGTATGGCTCACTCTGAAAGGAGGGGAAAGAAACATGGGACGAGGTCTCCTTTATATTAGGGCTGCATGTACTTGTTCTAAGATCTGTAATGCAGAAGAAGACACAATCTCTAAAAACCTCTGGTGAATGATAAGAAGCAAAAAATTTCCAGCACTTTTAGGATGTGAGTCTGCAGTCGACCTAGGGTCATCATGTAGAGAGGGCTTTTTTAAGCTCTAGTACTATAACCCAAAGAGCAGGCATTGGAAACGGGAGAATTTCACCCACTGGAGGAATAGGAGACTGACACTACCCAGACATCTGTGGAGAAAGGAATCCAGGAGAACAGAACTCTCTGGAGGGTTTGGGATGTTTGGTGATAATGCTTTGATGTTAAAGATGGAGAAAACAACTAGAGAAAAGACAAGAGTAGCTTCTAACAAGTGGAGAATACTTGTGTTTTCTTCAAGCCTTCAACCTCTGATCCTCACAACCCCACCTCCCTTTCTTCTGATGTAAATAGCTTTCCCCTTGATTTGAGCATAAATCCTAGGTGGGGGCTTTTGGGGGAGGTTGTTAAGCTCCCCTGGAGTTTTTCCTGGGTGCTCTGCACTTTCCCACCTCACAGCTTTTTTGCTGGAATTCAGATTATTCAATAGGGGTAAGTCCACTGTTGTCCCAGTGTCCAAGTACAAATAAAGAGATCTCACAAAATAAATCTGTTTCAGAGCATTTCCTGGAGGGGTCACCCAAAAAGAGCTTCAGGAGAAAGAGGAATATAAGAAGCTGAAAGAGAAGATCAAAGAGCTAGAGGCAAGGTAAGGCATTCATTCAGATTTCTGATGCAACATGTGTTTCTACGCTGAAGACCCACATACTTCTTGCTTCCTCCAGTCCTTAGGGACTCTTTGGTTCTGACCAGACAGCCTAGACACCTTTTCCCCAGACTCAACCTGCCAGCATGTCTTTGTAACTGATATCTGGAAGATGGCTTGGGTTGTTCTGGAAAGGGAAGGAGATATTCCCAGGGTGAACATGTTAATAAAAGAAATCAGCCTACAATGACATAGTCGAAATGCCACTCTTTCTTTGACCAGATTTCACTGTGATCATGCAAAACTGAGCTGAGAAAGCACTATTTCCCACACGAAAGCTGCTTGCCAGCTATATAATATAGTTGAGAAGTGCATTGTAGAAAACATGGGATTAATGAAATAGATTCATAATATGCTGTAAAATAGTTACGCTTATTCACTGTTTCATCTTGTCTTAGCTAAGTTTTTTAATGTCCATCTTGCCCTAGAAACAAAGAGCTCTTTTCTAAAGCGATGGGCATGCACAAGCACTCTGAGAACATGAATGACCCTTCGTGTTTGTCTGCTGTGCTGCAGAGGTATGAGATGCTCAGGCTACGTGACTGAGAAAAACTCAGGAGCTCCACAGCCTCGTATTTGACGTATAAAACTGGCAGCAGTTTGTTCATGTCCATTTTCTCAGTCTGACCTTTATCAGATCAATATGGTGTAGCCAGTATAGCAGGCTTTCAGTATTAGTTTTTCTGTATCAGGCAGGGTTGGGGACTAAGTTTGGGTCTCTGATTTTCCAGTCCAGCAGGGCCTGCGTAATGCTGTAGAGAGCAAAGTGACGGTGACCTGCTTCCTCCTGCCTTTCAGAAGGGCACATTCAAATCCCAGTGCCATATCTCACCCATGCTAAGCACAAGTGGGAAAACGTAGTCCAGTTTCGTTATGGTTAATGCTTTACATACTAGATGGGAGACCTCGTTCTGATGTCTGACTCGCTGCTCTGATGCTGGGGGGATCTGAAGAAAAATACCAAAATGGTACACCTTAAAGAACGAGACTGAGATGAGGCCATTATTAGCATTGCTTGTGATGCTAAGGCCCCACAGATGCTGAAGAATGGGCTTCAACATGCAAACAGCTCGATGAAACAGTTTATTTCCCAGGTATTGAAGACATATTTCAATCAACTAGTGGCCCTAAAATTTACTCTAATGCAGATGTGGTTTCAGCACATGCTTTCCTACACCTCTCATTTCAGTGTGATTGCTGCTGTAATCAGCAGTTGTCTTTGCGCTGCAGAAGCTGTTTGATGCCTGTGAGAAAGATATACAGCAGAGAACAACTAACATATTTGAAGTTCTTGACATTCCACCTTCAAATGATGCTATGACCAACAGTAAACAGGTACTTTATGTTTCTGTGTAACTGGACCCAGGCAGTGGTATAAAAGGGCCATCTGCGTCTGCCACTCATTTAGAACTTAGCTTCTGCTAGGGACACTGCTCAAAATATATTGCCAATGACAGTGGGGATAACTTATGAGCTCAGAGGGATGGCAGTGTGGAAAGCTGAGCTCCAGCAACCTTTCTGTGTCCCACGATACACATACACTGCATATCCGAATTGTCCAGCTGGCTGAGGCGCATATATGAGTGCAGAAAGCATTTTCCAGCCCTGTATTGCTTTTATAGGACCTTCCTCCAAAGCTTGAAACGGGCAGCTTCTCCATTGCTGATTGACACAATCTAAGAAATGAAAATTCCCAATGCTCAGGGCCTGCACTGCTGGCCACACCACATGCTAACAGTCTGCTTTGTGCTGTGCTTGGTTTGTAGGGGGTGATGCAAGAGAGCGGGAATCTCTTCAGATATTCCTATTACCAAAACCACTCAGAGTTTTACAGCAAAATTATGGTGAGTAAAGATACCACCCAGGAACAGGGGCGATGGTTCAATTTTCTGGCATGTCTCTGCAGTTTGGTATTTAAAAAAATGGGAGGTTGCCCTTCTGCTTGGGGTTGTTTTCCACTTGTGGTAAGGGTCTTCCAGCCCATATACTCCCAAAATATTCTCACAGGCATGCACAGAGGTACATATAACCTTCTAAGGGAGATACAAAGCTGCGCAGTGGCAAACAGCAGGACAGGCAGGGCAGTGCCCTTACCAACAAGGGCACAGTCCTACCGGACCCAAGCAAGGTGCAAAGAGCAGGGCCGGTGGTGGTGATCAGGGTCAGCCACAGACCAGTGACCACCGGGCAAACCCACAGTGACCAGGCAGGTCAAGACCGAGCTGGGAAGATGGTCTGTGGGTCAGGGTCAGTAAGGCTGCGCACAGGCACCCCAACATCACAGCTCAGGCAAGAAACCAACCACCACTGAGCTTGAATCAGCTCCCGGGCCAAGTGGTGAAGGGTCTGTGGGTGGAGATGAGGCTCCTCATAACTTCTTCTCACACCACCCTTTCTGCCAGCTTAGCTGTTTTCACAGCAGTTGAATCCAAGGTTATATGGCCATGCTATATTAGAGCTGACCCTGAACACAAGCAGCCAAACCCCTGGGAAGGCAGGGGAAAGCTTGCAGAGACTGTTGGTGTGCACTGAGCCCTGATACTTGCTATCCAAACAGACTATATTCCAGTGGGGTTTTTTCTGGGAAATATATATATGTCATATATATCACATATATATGAAGCTTCCAAAGAGCAGGTTCCTCCTTTTGCAGCTTGCTGGGCCTTTCCGAAAGCTCAGTCTTATCAAGCTCTTTGCAGCTCTCTCTCTGAGGAAATAGAGACAGTTGCTGGATGCTGGAACAGTCCAGAAGCCAGGACTTAGTAAATAAAAGAACCTTTAAAGTGACCCTGGGACCCCTGCCTGTCTCACTCGAACGGTACCATCAGCTTTGACAAATGAAGTTCTTCAGCACTTAGTTCATGTGGAGCAGCTGCACAGAAAGAGAGCAGGGAGGCAATGTAACATTACATCAACATAACATTACAAAGCTTTCAAAATTGTTCTCACCTGATTTTCAGCAAGCTGGCATTGACTCAAAAACTGCCATTCAAAGATAGTTCACACTGCAGTGCTGCAAAATCTATTGTTTGCTGCTTCTTCAGGACCCACTGGTTAAAGCTGTATGGAAAAGGAACAGGAAATGTACAGGAAAGCTCGACGCAGTATTTAGAGCATGTGGACAAAAAAGGCTGGGAGGACTGGAGAAAACCAGCATTTCTGTGGCCCATAACGAAATGTGGGGAACAAGTCATTGTGAAAGGTGTAATCTGGGATGAAAAGCAGCATGACTTCAGAGTCAAGCTACTCATATGACCACAAGAAGATGAAACAGCTGCTGCGCAATATGCTGCTTTTCTTTCTCCCATGAAGTGCCTGCTTTTCAGAGCTAGTAAGTTAGACACTCCTGGCTTGGGACACCAGGATAAATCATTATTTACGAACATGTATTAAGAATTGAAGATGTTTGCCTCAGCAGCATGCATATATTTTGTGTAACATTTGTTCCTTGCTGTCTCTAAACAGCATTTGTGTGGAAAGAGAATCTGTGTTTCTAGCCTACCTTACCTGCTCTTCACAAATGCTTATGACATTGTCAGATAACAGTGGGGATCTCAGCCACCCTGTGGAGGCACTTGCCTCCTCACCAACAGCATGTGGTAGGACCAAGGCTTTGCGGGACCCCTAACAGCAGCGGTATCACTGCTCTCCCCTGCGTCTATAGCAGGTACACAAACTGCAGGCTCATGCTTTCTGCTAACGAATAAGCAGTGAGGATGAAGATGGCCTGTTGGGAAACAGGCATCCTTCTTGGGTAAAAATGTACTTAGCTGAGAAAGAGATCAAGGCACTAAAAGACAAGGCTCACAAAGGCTACGACGGACTTTCGGAAGACAGGTGTGTGTAGGTATGTGTACCCAGACACAGACACTGAGGCCCACTCTTATATGCCAAAAGGCCACTTGTGTCTACACAAATGTCACCTGCCTGTTAGCACTCAGCTGCTTTCCCACATCTGTACAATTTACCGATCTGTAGCCCTTCATCTAACATACCTGCCACAGCTCTTGATCAAAGCGCTCTAAAAGTTGTATTTCACAGCGTAAGGGGGATGCAGTGAGGCAAATGCATGTTTATGTCCTCACCTGACAAAATATTCAGTGAGAATCTTGAGATTTGTCCAATAAAAAAGACTGGAAATCCTGCTGTGTGCCTGCCGAGTCCTTTCCTCCAGTTCTGCTTTCTAGCCCAGCAGTTTCCTTGGCTGCACAAACTCCCTGGCATTTTCTCAAGGGTCCTCAGAAAGAAAGGCAAATTTCTGTGCAGCTCTCTGCAAGCAAATTGCTCTGCTTCTCTCAGGAAACCACTATTCTGTGAGTGTCGCAGGTCACTGACAACATGAGCTGGGATCCAGGTATGTGCAAGAAAATTGGCTTTTAGAAAACTAGAGTATTCTGAGAAACTGACTGTAAAAGACCTTTACTGGAAATATTTATTATGGAATAGAGCAGGTGAATTAAAATTACATATGCACCATATTTCCTACAACTTTCGCAAAAAGAACGAACCACAATAGTTACTTTTTCATACCTTGTAAGGTGTTGCAGACTAAGGTGGGCAGTGCATTAACACTTCGTCTTGTCCAGGCTTTAGAAGGTAAATGACAGGGAAGTTTCCAGTACCAGCAAGTAGGAGCTTCAGCATGACCCTGACCCAAATGCCATGTGATTATACAGGTGTAATAGCACATATATGGCAAGCTGCCATGCTCTATTTGTTACCTGCTTAGAAATTTTGTTAGCCTAATTTTTAAGAGCCTGTGGCTCCTTGAGTCAGTCTGGTCCTGTTCTGTGGATCAGTTTTATCTCTGAAGCTCATCGCTTCTGCAGCTTCTCATGTGTGGTCCTTTCCTTTGATTTTTCTTTCCTTAACATCTTTTTTGCTGGCTTTAGGCTAAAACACTCAAGTTACAAAGCTTTGTATTTCAAAGGCTGATTTAAAAGCCTTCAGAAGGCTACAAGCACTGTTGCATCCTTTCTAGCAGGCTCCACACACACTTCCTAGTCTCTCTTAACAGCAGGAGCAGACTTTTTGCTCTGTCTGTACAGCACCTAGCAGAATCCAGCAGATTTGGGCTCTGAGGTACTGCTGAAACATCTTTTCCCTGTTACATATGCTCAGCTGATCTCAAAGGAGCAACAATTTCCCCCTCCCTGCAAAAGGTGTCATTTGGCCTAGAATGCAGTAGCCCCGAAACAGTGAATGGGCTGCCTCCTTCCTGTGCAGCTACAGGATTTTTAACTGCTCACAACAGACCAGGTACTCCATCCATTAGCAACAAAGATCCACTGATTGCCACGAAGTGTCTCTGTGCGTGAAATTTCCCTATTGCCGGATTCTCACATCTCCTGGTGCAAAGGACAACATCTAGCCCGTGATTCAACACAACCTCTTTTCCCAGTTCGTGATGTTTGAGGGTGAGATTTCACTCAGGCTGAACATCCAGTGCACTGGTGTGGTGAGTTAGGCCACTCATTTGGTGTGGGTTGCATTCCTTAAACCACTCCTACCAGCAAAGCGAGATGCAGGATTTGAGCATCAAATGTCCCAGCTACTGTCTAAGCACTTTGGGGCAATCAGCAGAACACCATTGTTCTAGAAAGGTCGCTGGGAGCAGGGATGATGGTTGTAGCTGCTGCTACGCTGTCCTGAGATAGCCTGAAGCCTCCGAACAAGAATGTCCCTGAAGAACAGCTTGAGTCACACAGATACATCCTGCCTTCCTCCATGTTGTACACGATGCAATCATGAAATAACCCAGAGTTGTCTTCCCTTCCTCCTTTGGCTCTATACCATCATTAAGAGACTTGGAGAAATGCTACTGCAACTGCTGAAATGTTGTTCTCCCATAGCTTCTTCCACCCTGTACCTCTTGGTGACAAGCGGACTCTTCCATGGCCTGAGAAGTGTATTGTATTTCCCACCACCTCCTCCCCCTCCTCCCCTCCCTTTTCATCAGTCAACATAACCATGGAAGAGCCTCCCCCTCACTTGGTCTCATTTGCTATCTAAACCAAGCTAAGACAGTTCTGACTTAGACTTTGTTCAAATCTCAGTGGAGACCCTGAGACCCTTTCCCTGATCATAGATTCTTCATCCAGAAGAAAGGGGGCAAGTCTACCCATATCTCTACACCTTACATCTCACAGATGAATGGCAAACGATGGGAGTCTAAGTTTGCTCATCCCTGCCAGGGACAACATCTCCTGCAAGACATGAGTTCCGTACAAATTAATTCACATAGCCAAGTGGGTTAGATCCTCCACCTGGTATCTAGAAAGGATTCCTCTGTGTTACACTATCATCCTACCAGTGATGCAGGATTATCCCTGGAGCTGAGGCACAATGGCTTTTCTTCAGCTCTGTGGAATGCAACTAGTTGCTATCTCAGTCCTTCAGACTTTGGTGGGAGACCTGTCTGCCTGCTCCCGCCAAAGACCTGGCCCAGGTGTTCTCTTCCCTTCGGCTCTCCCCACTGTCCGGAGAGGGAGAAAGAACCTGTTCCCAGTGGAATTTAAAAATACCACCCATATCCTGGTAAAGACATTGACTGAAACATCAGCAGCACACTCAACACTCCACTTCTGTCACCCAACACTACAACTTGTTTAACAAAACAGTTTTTCTAGTATCCTCACTGAAGTGAGAGAGGTAAGGGTTAGACTGTACCGCTGAGACATAGTACTGAAGAATAGCATAAACAATGCAGCAGACTGTGGCCTCCTCCAGCTTTTGGGGTGTTCCTGAGAGCTCCTCTTCAGGCCACTTGTATGGACCTGGTTATTCACTTTGCATGCTAGTAAACTGCAAGGCCGGCTGGGACGGGTAAATGGGAAGTGTCCTGTGTTTGGCTTCTCCTGCCTCTCCTGCACAAGTCTGTCACTATTCTGACTCTGAGAATCTCTGATCCTGCTCTTTACCTCCCATGCCCTGCAGCAGCAGCATCTCATAACTTCAGTGACCCTCAGTGCTTCTGGTGAACTGATCTTACACTGCATTAGCTAAGTAACTTGGAAGACACACAGACAATGTCTGAGGTCTCCACCTTGTGCATAGCTGGCGTCTATTGCTCCATAACCCAAAGAGACCCAATTTCTGGAGGGTAGGATATCTTCTGTCAGAGGATAAGTATGCCAGCAGTTATAATCCACGGATATCTGCTTAGCTGTTAGCTGTGTTTTGACCTTTTCTCTCTCTGTGACGTACTTGCATTTATTTCACACATGCAGGAAGCTTTGGTGAGAGAATGAATGGGTCAGTGAGCCAGGGGATTTCTCCTTGTCCCTCAGTCTCTTACTTTCCAACAGCCGCAGAGGACCAGGGTTCAAGGGTTCAGATACATGGAGAGAGAAAGTGCAAACAGATGCTTTGGCTCTGAGCAAGTCTCCTGCCCATTGCAAGAAAGCAATGGGACCATAATGGAGGAGGCTCAGCTCTTAGAAGGAGCAAGCCAGCCTTGTGATTATCCAGTGGACCCCATTTAGATCATTAGAAGTACCTGGTCAGTGCTGTTAGTAGTGCCCTTAGGGTCTCAGATTTTTTTTTGTTTTGGTGTAAAAAGTCAATTTGATGTTAACGAAACCTACAGGTCCTGCAAGACAAACATCCTCTCTTAGTTATTCCAGACCAAATACTTCATAGACACAGCAGAAGCTCCAGCCCCACCACTGTGCCTTCCCCTCAGAGGGAGAAAGCCTGACCCCAGACACAGTCACCACCACAGCTAGCCAGCACCTCTGTATTGTCACAGATCTTGCAACAGCACGTAATTAATACTTGGATTATATCACTAACTTCTCATTAGAAGGTTTTTCACTTTTGAAAGTGATGATTGGACTCTGGTTAAATGCACGGAGATAGATGTCACATGCTCATTTTCCAGAAGGGTACCTGGGAAGGCAAATAGCAGCTCTTTCACCAAAAAGTTTCCTTAGAAATTTGTTATCCCTCACAACAAACTCACATGAATATCACTCAAGCACCAACATGGGTAATTTTGAAGGAACAACTGGGCAATTGACCTGAGGAGCAATGCTGAGAACTTTCATAGCTGAAGCTGAGATGTTTCAAGCAGTTTAGTTTTCTACAAGGGCTTGTCTTGGGAGATGCTTCCTGCTTGGTGAGCGGCTGCTGCAGGCTTTGCCAGCGGGTGCTGGTAGCTGGAAACAACTAAGAGGGCACAAACACCGTTAAGTGAAAGAGCCACACAATTACGGCCAGTGAACTACTGCGAGGTGAAAAAGGTCCCATCTACGACTAGATTGTAGAATAAACATTCACCAAAAAAAAAAATGAACCGCTATCATTTAAATGACACACAAGCAATAACCAACAGGTTATCAAGAACAAATACGGTCTTTTCCCAGATTCTGAAAAATGAAATGGGTGGTGGGTATCTGTGTTATGGGAGGTATCTCCATGCAGAAATTCCTCTTCTTGGACAAAACAGTACAACCAAGATCCAGGATACAGCCTTTTACATCTGTCCTAGCTGAGGAGCACCTTACCTTCTCAGACAGTTCTTCAATTTGCCAAGCTTATTTGGGAACCTCATTCTGTTTCCTAACATTCCTGCAGCCCACCCACAAAGGATTCAAAATCTGGGCTAAAAGGAAAGTGTTCAGCTCAAGAAGAGCAAAGTCTGAACACTACTAAAGAAATCAAAATAGTTGCTTGTTGCAGAAATGAACTGAAATGGAAAGTAAAAGAACAGCGCTAAAAAGCGAAACTAACTTTCCTTTGAATAGGTGTGTCAAGTAACTCACCACATAATTTTGAAAAATATAAGCTTAATCAGTAAGAAAGCTCAGAATTTAAAATACTTTGAAAAGAGACTTTCTTTAACAAGACATTAAATAAAAGTAATAGATTATAATAAACAGGCAAAACACAGTTGCAAAAAGTAGTTCGCTCAACCTATGATGGATATGTAAAAACTATCATTCCAAAGCATTGCAGAATTTCAAAGCAAGGCAAACTTAAAGCTTAACTAAAATCTAATCCTTTGCTTCATGGCATTATCCCCATTCTTTCTTAAAAAAGACAAAACCAAAAAAAATGAATCTTCATGCTCACAGTTATATAAAAAAAGATCCTTAAAAATAATTAGGTTTCAGAAGTGTAATTCTCTTCTCTAACATTTGAATGAGAAGCTCATGGTGGCAGTGCTAGTGTTTGATGCCAGGACAAACGCATTAACACAACCGGCTGCGAGCTGAGGCTTAGGAGGAAGCAAGTGTGTGCCTCCTCCGGCCAGGCAGGACAAGCAAACGCCCCGGCAGCCAACACCCAGGCTCCGAGAATCGGCCTTTCCCATTGCAACACCCATGTCTAACCCGGACAAAAAGCACCACCACCACAACAGGTTCTGTTCTGTTCTGAGTTACGTTCAATGCAAATAACTGAAATGCTCCGGCAAAGAAATTAGAAGAAAAAGATGATGTCCAGTCCTGCGTATATGCTAATGATTTAAACTTTTACCACAATAAGAATATCCCATCGTTTCTGCAAATGTTTAAGTCCACGCTAAATCCCAGATTTGGTCCTTTTTCTGTTCTTATTTTTAAAAATGAAATTTGTTCCTGTTAGGAAACAGAGTAACAAAAATCTCAGTTCATAGACAAACAAGAAATACAACTCAAACAGAACTCACATTAACCAACATTTCTGGTATAACCTTCAAAAATGTTAATGTCTCTATATCTTTGATCTGAACAAAAAAGGAATATATAATAAGTCAGGAGATTGTTATTCTGATTATTAGGATTCTACTTCAGTGTACAAAACCTGACATAGAAAAATTACCCCTACAGCAGCTAATTCCCCCTTGAGTTTAATTACAAAATTGTTTAATCATTTTCATACAAAATGTTTCTGTGTCAAGGTAATGATTATGGTGACGGTATTCATGCAATCAAGGGGGAGCGTGCTGCCTACATACTAAATTTTTAATAGTTTTGTTATAATTAATGGAGAAGAATTGAGGTTTCTAACAGCTTAGATGGTTAGGAGCTTTCCTAACTGAAGTTGGCTAGAAAGGTTATTTGGCTTCTGACACACGGGGCATGCGGGTTTCTGTCCTTGGAAGAGGAAGGAAACACATCTAACACTGTGGTAGGTCATCGTGACGGACGGACTTTACCTGGACTGAGTAATGATGTGGTCTTGCTCCACAGCACCTTATCAGATATTTTCTCTGGCCATGTCATTCTGCTTTTAGCTGCTTCATGTGCCTCTGTAAGACTCAATAGGGGTAACATTGTAAGTCAGACGCTGTGCCACATGATACCCCAAGGTTAATATGATGTCCTTCGCATAATTTCCTAATCAATATTTCAAAAAGGAAATTGGTGTGAAACAGGGAAACAGTCTCCTCTGTTCTGACTTCTGTGCCCTCAAGTCTCAGGTCTCAGCTGACGAGAGAGACACGCTCAAGGAATCCGCCTCTGAAAAAGCAAGGGCAGGCCTGAAAGTTTCCCAGCACATCTGGTCAAGGAGACCTTTGCGGGAACCCCTGCGCTCAGGGAGGTCTCTCTGCCACTGCTTGCACCTTCTCCCCTCTCCCAGCCACGAGAAGAGAAGCAGAGGCCTGGGCCCGTCCCTGAGCAAATATTTGACTTCTCATTCACAGCTGCGAGGAGGAACTGGGAGAGACCCATGGAAGCTGAGCTGCAGCTTGTTGTGTCTCACAGGAAGGGTAATCGTAAACAGAGGGAATGGAACATCCTGAGGCTTAAACCCTTCCTTCCTGCAACAGCACGGCTCGTGCCCCCTAACCAGCCTCCCACTGAGACTTCCGCATGGGAAGGGAGGTGCCTGCAGAGGGAAGGGAGCTTCACTGAAGGAATGGGTGAGCAGGCCTGGACCCTTCACCAGGAAAGATGACTTAGGGCATCACAGGTAGAAGAGGGTGGGTAGGAGCTACACGTGCACTCTCCGCCTTCAGTTGCAAGAACTAGGCTGATGGAAACATAACGAACAGGAGGACATGGTTCACCATGCAGCCGAGAGTGGACCTGTTGTACTCCTTGTCAAGGGGTATTGTGGCTGCACTAATACCACCGAGGTCAATGGGCTTCTGGACAGGTGTCTGGAAGAGACCTCCATTCGGGGTCCTTGCAGGTTGGAAACAGGATACTGGGTGGATGGCCCTCTAGTCTGGTACCACTTGGGCTGCTCTTATATTCATACAAATTTGCTCAAAGAAATGTTGCCTGTTAGTTTTGCAACAGCAGGCTTTATGGTTGTCACACATCATCCACCCCACCACCTCAGTTTGATCAACTGTCTCGACAGAAAGGCAGCACAAAAGCACAAAAAGGGCATGAACTTATTATTGTGTACCCTAATTTGATAGCAATGCAGTCATGTGCCACCCTTGATCCGGATCAAGTACCAGTGGACAACTAAGCAGTGACCTGGCATCACTACTGGTATGACTGTGGGCCCATGAAGGCTTGAAACGTTCCTGCGAGAAAATGCGTGCTGCGGGATCCTGAGCTCACGTGGCTGCGAGCAGCCGCCTCAGCTGCACCTGTCTCCTCTGCATTTGCCCCTGGCCCTCGCTGGCTCCTCCCGCTCTGCTGAAGTCCAGGAGCTTCCTCCCAGGACTTTCCCTGTGGACCTTGCACGGAGCGTGCATGGGCCAGCAGCTCCACAGCGACGCAGTGGACACTGCTGCGTACGCTGCGATGCCTCAGGGTCACCGCAGCTCAGAGCACTGTGGTGGGGAGATGGTAGGAAGCAAACGATGAGGGCGCGGAGGGGAACCACGCAAGCGATCCTCCTGACAGCTGCCGGGGGAGAGACAGAGCTGTGGGCAGAAGCAAAACTCTGTGCTTTGGAGATCCATCTTCCAACGACAGGAAGAAACCCCCGTGCTGCAGGGCCCTGGCGCTATGCTGTGCTGCAAAGGGTATTCTGAGGGAGGCCCAACAGCACCAGGGCCCGTAGTGAAACCCAGAGCCACTGTCCTGCAGGTACTGCCGCTGCAGCCGTCAGTCACAGGGCAGGAGGCGACGCTGGAAAAGCACTGGAAAGCTCACCTCCGCCCAAGCCTGCACGAGAAAGCTTTTCCCTTTCACCGAATTTTTTGTTCTTAGTCTGATTTTAAATGGCATAATTCCTCCCACAGAAGCATAAAAAAGGATTCACTTCCTGCAGACACATGAAATGTTTTGGCGATGTACTTCTAAGCCTCGTGAAGACCCTTAGCCCAGCTCAGACAGCCTGCCTTACCCGCGGACTGGTCGGAGCAGATAGGGTCGGGGGGAGACGCTAGTTAAGGTTTTTTTCCTCAAAGCGGTTTGATCGAGTTCTCCGTCGTAACGTGAAAACACCGGGGCGCGGCTCCGCCCGACGGCAGCACGGCTCCAAGCGCTCAGCTTCCC